AGATAGTATACCTGACACACATTCTAAAACTTTGCTATCTATTTTTCAGATAACTGATGGAAAATGAGGCATGGGTCATGGACATAGGAAACTCATGCAGGGCAAATCTCCTCCCCACCTGTAATTGGCAGGTGCCTCTAAAAAGAGGCACTTTCTCCTTTTCCTAGTAAACCTTTCCTTTTAAAATGTTAAAAAAGAAAAAAAAAAACTTTGATACTCAAGAAAGACTTTGATACAGAGAGACTTAACACTCTTTTCAAATCTTTCTTCAACATTCATATTTTATTTCGTTGGACATCGTCTACTCAGTTTTCTTCCAAAATTCTTTGTTGCATGTGCCTATTCTCTCTCTCCAGGGAAGGCCTAAGTTTTTTAAGGTCAAGGTCCATGTTTCTTCTGTTTTGGATACACTTGTAGTATTTGGAACATAATAAGCAGAAAATCAAGGAAAGCTGACTCTCTTTACTGCCATATCACACAAAAGAATGTGTTACTTCAGAATAGAAATGTTTTCTTATATACTTTAACAAAGTTAAACATTTCATAGAAAGACAAATATACCAGTCTTTTGGAGGATATAATTATACATTTTAGAATGAAACATTAAAGAAATAAGTGCTTTATAGTGAAACATTAGTCATAATTCATCAGAAAAACAACATCACAGAATGGTAAGTTCCTTTAAATTTTTCCAATATTTCATCTTCATAGCAAAGATAATCCAGCAGTCTCATCAAAAGTTAGTGAGAATATAAAATATTATAGTTTTCCTTAAAGATGGCAATATTTTCAATATCTTCTCGGATGTTCTAATTATAGCAGCAATCAATAACTAATGTGCAATTTATCTCTACATCCCCCAATCATTACCTTTAAACTATACACAGATGCCCACTGCATTCTCCTCCAGCTTCTACTCAGCTTTAAGCCATAATTGTTTCCTGGCCTGGATTCTTGCATATTCCTGATGTGTGGTCCTTGTTGCCTTGTTAGTGTTAATTCTTATTAAAAACTATCCAGATCTTGTTAACCTTTCTCTCCATACTGTCCACATTGAGATCTTTTCAACTTTTAGTCGCC